GGGAGGGGACCCAGCCCTTCTGCACTAAGCCGGCTTCCCTTCCGAAGCCTGTCTTCTTCCTCTTCTGTAAAGACCGCGAACAGATCAAATGCGTCAAAAAAGGTGGCTGTGGGCTCGCTGGAGCTGTATGCGGTTTTCCCAGTGCCACTTGGGGGCTAAGTCTGAGCCCACAGGGAAAGTGTTTCTCAAGCATTAATTCAGAAAGATGTGTTTTTCTTTTATTGGAAAAGAGTGGCTCCGACTACGTGCTGTAAGTTCTCAGGGGAAACCAAGCCTCCAGGGTCCTGTAGCCTGTGTGGAAGAAAGCGGCTCCTGAAGGTTCTCCTGGAGACACTGTCCAAGGCGTGCGCGGGGCTCACTGTGCAGCCTGTCGCCTTTGCACTATACTTCGAGTTCTACCAAACTTTTATCAGTAGCCAAAGAACTCTGGGTCTTTGTAGAACGTCAATGAGGTGAAAGTGCACTATGAAGATTGTTCGCCTGTGCTGCATTTGGGGCTTATGGTTATTAGGTAATATTGTTTAAGAACTACTGGGTCTTACTGCAGTCCTGCACTAGCATATAATTTATACTATGTGAAAAAAGAAGACAAGACTTATTACTAGGGACCACAGAAATGCTTTTTCTTCCCTCCCCACAGGGCATATCGAAAGTCTTGTTCCCGAGGTGACACACGCATCGTTATACATCCGGGTGCTTATTTTGGCAATTTGAGGGAATCCGGTAGCTCGGTTTTAGTTTCTCCTTTGAAGGACTTGATCCCAGCTGTAAGGCAACATTTTCTCTTAAGGGACTGCTTTGCTGCTGGGGAGCGAGGCTGCCAGACTGATGTTTTTCTCTTTATTTTTATTTTTTCTTTCTTTCTTTCTTTTTTTTTTTTGTGTGTTTTTGAGACAGGGTCTCACTATGCAGTTCAGGCTGGTCTTGAGTTCACTATGTAGCCCAGGCTGGTCTCAAACTTGCAACAATCCTCTGCCTCAGCCTCCCAAGTGCTGGGATTACAGGCGTGCGCCACCACGCCCAGCCCCATAAAAGCAGCCTTTTCTAGCGGTCTCTTTTCAATCTTTTCTTTTCCTTTTTTAAAAAATATTTAGTGAATTTTACTCCAGTGAAGTTTAAATGATACAGAAATGAAAAATATTAGCCAAAAAAAAAAAGAAAAGAAAAACACTAGCAATCTACACATAGTAAAAAGTGCATATAAATTAGCCAACTCCATGGGCATTTCCAGTTAAATATTCATACAAATGCATATTCACCTTTTTCTTTATACAGCAATAACACACACATACCTGTCATTAAAATTCTGGCAAAAGGGGCTGGGGATTTAGCTCAGCGGCAAAAGCGCCTGCCTGGCAAGCGCAAGGTCGTGAGTTCGGTTCCCGGTACCGGAGAAAAACCAAAACCAAAAAAAAAAAAAAAATTCTGGCAAAAAAATGAGAGATATTTACACTATTCTCACATATCAAAGTTAGTATGGAATATGTTTTAACAAAAACATTCTACAAGAAGGTAAACCCCTGATTTAATTCCATAATTTTATCATGCCAGAAGCATTGTTGGTTCGAATTTTTTAAAAGCAAGAAGATATTGGTATCATAACACATTGGTTTATTAATAAAGCATTTTGTAAACAGTATGTACAAAATTTTAATACTGGTTATTTATTATGATGTTTTAAACTTTGAAAGTCTCTTCAACATAGGAAAATACGGGCTGGGGATTTAGCTCAGCGGCACAGCGCCTGCCTGGCAAGCGCAAGGTCCTGAGTTCGATTCCCGGTATCGGAAAAAAATAAAACAAACAAAAAAGCACATAGGAAAATAGCTGCACACATTTAGTTTTTTTTTTTAATATATATGTAAAACACTCAAAAAATCCATGATTGGTCTCTGTGGTCCCTAGTAATAAGTCTTGTCTTCTTTTTTCACATAGTATAAATTATATGCTAGTGCAGGACTGCAGTAAGACCCAGTAGTTCTTAAACAATATTACCTAATAACCATAAGCCCCAAATGCAGCACAGGCGAACAATCTTCATAGTGCACTTTCACCTCATTGACGTTGAAGCTGCTCCTTTTGGAGATTTTTCCACTTCAATGTGAAGTAGAGTGTTAGGATTTCATTAGTGGTTTCATTATGTGGATTTTTAAAAGAAAAGAATTGTTTTGATTTCTCCCACAGTTCAGAGTTGGAAATCATATGGTCCAAGGTTGTTTTTAAATAACCAAATGTTCTTTAGTAGATGAAATCTCTCAATGCAACTGCAATAAATAAGCATCTACACCCTTAGCTATATTACCAGCATAGCCTGGAACCAAAGTAAGATGGTTTTCCTGTTCCCACGATCTACTTAATCGTTGTTTTAAAATCTTAATATTTCTGTCATGTATAATTTCTGTTTTGGGTCATAGTTCTGACCACCACCTTTTTATTACTGCTTGAAGCCAGTTTAAACCAACTATTACATATTCTTCACATTTGCTTTTAAGTAATGACTTTAGTAGAGGCAATAAATCTACACAGCAGCCAAGTGAGATACACTGTGTTTCTTCCTGTAGACTGTTGGTGAGCACAGGAAGGCAATCCGCCACAACTCCAAGGTCTTCAGTTCTTACCGAATAAGCTACAAGTTCACTTACACTTCTCTTTCTCCAGAAAGTTAAAGCTACATTCAGTCTCAGATTCCTGCTGAACAAAACTTGCGCCATTGTTTCACGGTCTGAGAAACCTCAGAGAAAAACCCACTGTGTTTTGATGATGGGCTTTCTGTCTGAGAAGAGCTAGAGTCACGAGTTCACTGACTGTCGTGGGGAAATTCTCAGGCAGGCGGCCTGCACAAGCCGGTTCGTTTTCTTTAGGGGACTGTTTTTTTCTGTAACAAGGATTTGGAAAGGACCATGAACCTTTCTGCGGTAGATCACCTTATGTAGTGTGTCTGGGCTTTTCACAGCTTGTCCAACTGTTCTACTTATGTAATAAGCAGCCAGCTGTTTTGGAGATACCTTGACCTCCTTCATGTTCTTATTAGTGAAATTAGATATCCCTTTTCTAGGAAGATCAGTGGAATGATCCTCATTATTATTACAAAAGTTCTGGTTTTTAACATTGGTTTTCAGATGCCATAATCTCTTTAACTACCAGTGTGCCCCAGCCCAGCCCGGGTGCGGACGAACAGCGCCTGGCAGCCTCCAGTCTTGTCTTTTTGTTTTTGTTTTTGTTTTTGTTTTGATTTTTTTTTCTGGTACCGGGAATTGAACTCACAACCTTGTGCTTGCCAGGCAGGTGCTATGCCGCTGAGCTAAATCCCCAGCTCTGCCTCCAGTCTTTTCCTGCAACAGGAAGAAGGGGTACTAAATTCCAAAGTGCCCTACAGAAACTCACTCTTGGCATGTAGCATCTTGTAATATATATAGTACCACTGGCTCTAAACATTTTTAGTGTAGTCAGACAGCAGTGCCATAGTTGCTAAAAAAGGTGTCTCTGGCCTTCCCCCAAAAGGGGGAAGGCACAGGCTCGCTCTAGGATTGGTTTACTTGTGTATGTATGGGGGGGTGATCTTTTAGTTTGCAAAGTACATTTCACATCTGTTGTACTTTAGTTGTTACAAGACAACGTGTGAGATGTGTGTTGACTGTTAGTGCTGTTTTATAAATGAGGAAACTGAGGCTTTGATGATCTCATTTTATCTTCACAGTAAAAAGTGCAGCCAGATGTGGTGGCGCATGCCTTTAATCCTAGCACTTGGGCAGCTGAGGCAGGATTGCCATGAGTTTGAGGACATCCTGAACTACTAGTGAGACTGTCTCAAAAAACCATAATAATAACCTAGTGCAGAAAACTTGTTTTAGTTGAAGGCCTTGGTCCTACTTAGTAGTACAGTATAGTGCTTGCTTTAGCAGCACAGATACTAAAAAAGTAATAGAGTATAACTGGTTGTCTTATTTTATTTTAAAGTTGGTGTTAGCCAAGTGTGGTGGTGCATGCCTGTAATCCCAGTACTGAGGAGGCTGAGGCAGGAGGATCACCTCAAGTTCAAGGCCACCCTTGCCTACATAGTGAGTTCAAGGCCAGCCTGGACTACATAGGGAGACCCTGTCAATAAACAAATAAATAAATCGATGTTGAATTTCTGTTGCATCTCAGCATTCTCATAACAAGCAGTTTTCCTTTGCGGGGGGTGGGGGGTGGGGGGGTGTCTAAACATAGAAAACATAAGCTACACCTTTTCTCTGAGATATATTTTTAAAAATTCCTCCAGTGCAGGTATATGGGTAATAAGCTTTCCAGGTTTTTTTTTTCAATCTGAAAATGTCTTTATTTAACCTTCCATTAAGTCATAACCACACATGTACACATGCACACACACACACACACCTCTAATTATACCTTTTTTTTGTAGCTGGAATCAAACTCAGGACCTTGCACTTGCCAGGCAGGCATTTTGTGCTGCTGAGCTATATCCCCAGCTTTCTAATCATACCTTAATAATTATTTTCTCTTGGCACTCTGCAGAAAATTCTCCAGCCTTTTAGTTTTAGTTGTTTCTCTTAAGTAGTCTCCTGTCTGTTGCTTCCTTTGAGTTTCCTGTCTTTCCCAGAAGTGCTGCGGAGAGAGGCTGGGCGCTGCCAGCACGCCGTGTGCGGGACAGATCTTACCAGCAGCATTGAGTTCTCAGCCAGTTTCCTCTTGTGTTTTCCCTGGGGGCATCAGGAACCCTGGCAGTTGGATCTGGGCTCCTGTGTACTCGGACAGCAGCCCTTCCCTGGAGCCCCACCGCTGTCACAGGCTCTTCAGGGAATGCCAGAGAAACTGTGATACAGCAGGCAGTTTGTTAGACCGGCCGCTGTCTTCAGACTGGGAATGCCCGCCAGCCTGTTCTGTGGCCCCTGTGGCTTTCTTGTGACAAACTGTCTCATGAAGAGGTTGAGTCACTGTAACCCGTTCAATACAAAGGAGAGATGAGCAAGTAATGCGGATTTTTTCCTTTTTCTTTGCAGAATTCATCCTGTCTTGTTCTTGCTGCTCGGCACGCCAGTGCTTCTTCCACGGTAAGGGTTTAAAAGGCAGTATTATTGGGGCAGCCTGACCCTGGGACACAGTGTGTGGCAGCCACCTGCTACTCAGAAGGCTGAAGTAGGAGGATCATAAGTTTGAGGCCAACCTGGGCAAGTAAGACCCTGTCCCTCAAAATTTAAAAAAAAAAAATTAATTGAAAATAAAATAAGAAGGGCCAGGAATGGTATCACATGCCTATAATCCCAGGACACTGGGAGGCTGAGGCAGGAGAATTCCAAGTTCAAGCCCAGCCTGAGTAATTTAGCAACTTAGTAACACCCTGTCTTAAAATTAAAAAAAAAATTGAAAAGCACTGGGGGTGCTTTGGCTCATGCCAGAGTTCCTGAGTTCAATCTCCAATATTGAAAAAAAGTGGGGGGAGGCTAGGAATGTAGCTCCCTGGTAGAGTGCTTACCTAGCAAATGTGTACAGCCCTGGCTTCAGCCCCCAGTACCATCAAAGAAAGAAAGATGGCATGAAGGAAGGAAGGGACTGATTCAGCAGCATAGTGAAGTGGGAATAACAAACACTTTCGCCTCGTACAAGTTTTTAAATCATAAATTATACATAAAAATAGCTTTTCTTTTTTCAGTGTTGGGACTGAATCCTTGGCCTTGCACATGTGAGGCAAATGCTTTACCATTCAGCTGCGCCCCAGCCCTCTACAGAGCATAAACTTTACCATGTTAATCGTTTTTAAATACAGTTCCGTGACAAGTACATTCACATCTGTGTAGCCGTCACCATCATCCATCCCACAACATTTTCATCTCTCACAGTTGAAACCACTCATTAACCACTTCACAGTCACCCCAAGCACTGCTGGGGCAGATGTCGATTCAGCCAGTCGATTCTTGTAGTGAATAAATTTGATAAAGTTGTCATTTTTATACTTCCTCTTTTTTTTTTTTTGGTCTTTTTGAGGCAGGGTCTCGCCATGCAGTTCAGGCTGGCCTTGAGCTCACTTTAGCCGAGGCTGGTCTCGAACTCACAAAAATCCTCCTGCCTCAGCCTCCGGAGTGCTGGGATTACAGGCGTGCGCCGCTACGCCCGGTGCTACTTCCTCTTATATTTTCTTATAGAAATTAATGAAAACATACAGTTTTTTGTCATCCTGCATTTAAATGATCGGGCTGGTAAGTGGTGAAACCAGAGCTCCCTCTACTCCGCGTCTCTCCATTCCCCTTTTCTTGTGAGACGAGGTCTCTAGGTGGCTTAGGCTGGTCTCCTGTAGCCTTCGCTCCCTGAGTAGCCGGGTGGTAGGCATGGCTCCCTCCCCCTAATTCTTTTGCCATCGTGGATACAGAGTAGTTGACCAGACTTCCCTGACGGAGAAAGCCACATGATTACAAAGGATCTTCTCTTCATATCACCCACTTCGCAGGAAGTCTCAAACTTCGAGATGGTTACTTAGCCCCTCTCCTTCTCTTTGCAGAATTTGAAAGACATACTGGCCAACCTGATACCTAAGGAGCAGGCCAGAGTCAAGGCCTTCAGACAGCAGCATGGCAAGACTGTGGTGGGCCAGATCACTGTGGACATGGTACGTCGTGCGGCCCTGGCTGGGAGAAGCAGGCCTCGTGGTGCGCCTGAGCAGAAGTACCGCCCCTCCTGCTGACTGCAAAGCGCTCTGCCCCCAAACAAGGAAATAGTGGGGCTTGTGCTGTTCACTAAAGATTATTCTTTCCTACAGATTTAATACTTGAATTCATCCTAATTTACCTATACGAAGAGTAAATGTAGTTTCTAGACCTGTTGCTGAGCCCTTAGCCTTTGGAGGCAGGACTGTGTATCTGGATTGATACTTCATCAGCCATCCCGCTCAACTAGAACCCTGCAGGTCTTCTAGAACAGCTTTAGGGTGGTTTGTTCCCCCAGCGTTAAGAGATGAAGCAACGCCCGTTGGTTTCCTCGCTATCCCTGTAATAGACCTCATTCCGTTTACTTTAGTTGGGAATCAGGAGAGGTTAAGAGTGAGCAGGAGAAAAAATACAATAAGAAAAGTAAATAAACAGGAGCAGAAACATCGAAGAAAGATAAGATAGTCATTTCTCACCTTAAAGTTTTCATTTCTAGTATCCACGGTCTTTGCAGAGTTCAGTCATTAGTAAGTTCATTCTCTAGACATTTTTCTCCACTAAGTGAAGAGAATTATGTTTTCTCTCCCGGGTTCCGTGAATCTGATAAGCTCTAGTCCAAATAATTCTGCCTCCTGGTCACACCCTCTTTTCTTTAGATGTACGGTGGCATGAGAGGCATGAAGGGACTGGTCTACGAAACGTCAGTGCTTGACCCTGATGAGGTAAGACAGCTTCGTGTCGGTCACTCATGTCTTTGAGTTTACCTCGTGCAAACCAGTGTGCAAGCCAAGCGTGCAGACCAGGGACTAGGCCAGTGGGGGAGGGAGAGCAGCACGTATCACTGACTTGCGCATTTTGGAAGGTAGAGCGTAAGTGATGTGGAATAACTGGGGAAAGAGTTTACCTTTTCAGTGTGTCAGAGTACAAGGTGGGGGCGCTGCAGAGAGGTGACGCCGGGTGCAGCGGCACACACCTGTAACCTAGCTACCTGCGAACCTGAGGCAGGAGGGTCGCCCTGAGTTTGAGGCCAGCCTGACCCCCATGAGGAGCACCTGTCTGAAGGCTGGAGCCCAGTGATAGAGCTGCCCCGGGTTCCATCACCGGTGACACGCACACAAAAAGCAGGTGTAAATATGTGAGGGTTGAAGTTCTGAAAATCCTATTCTGAGTGGTTGTATGAGTAACGCTTCTCCCCCAGGGCATCCGCTTCCGTGGCCACAGCATCCCTGAGTGCCAGAAACTGCTGCCCAAGGCTAAGGGTGGGGAAGAGCCCCTGCCTGAAGGCTTATTTTGGCTGCTGGTGACTGGACAGATCCCCACAGAAGAACAGGTAAAGCAGAAGGGTATGAGCCCTTCTCATCCCCCTTCTTCTTAGCCTTTCTCTAATCTGAGACCCTTAATCCTGCTCTGGCTGTGAGCAGTAGCTCATGGAGATGTGCAGTGAGGGGAAGGAGTCAACAGCTCTGCTGTGCGAGTAGATTGTGTTAAACGCTCTTGGATTTTTATTCAGATGTCGCTGTTCTTTTATTCTTTCCTTTCTCGTACTAGTGTCCTGAGCAGTGTCTGCTTTTCCACAGGTGTCTTGGCTCTCACAAGAGTGGGCAAAGAGAGCGGCTCTGCCTTCCCATGTGGTCACCATGCTGGACAACTTTCCTACCAACCTGCACCCCATGTCTCAGCTCAGCGCAGCTGTCACAGCCCTCAACAGCGAGAGTACCTTTGCCCGGGCGTACGCAGACGGCATCCACCGAACCAAGTACTGGGAGGTAGGACACTGGAGTTGGCTGACTGGTGTGTGATGGGGATTCAGAGGACTCAGGTATGAAAGAATAGGGATTATAGACTCTTCTGAGTTACGCCAGAAAAATATGTAACAAACGTGCGGGGAGGAAGGGGAACAGCTGAGTGGCTGAAAGTGTACTTACTTAATCCAACTTGAGGCCTCGGATTCAATCCACAGCACCAAAAACAGGAAAAGAAAACATTTCCACTGTCTGCTTACTTTGTGTCTGTTAACGAGACTATAAAGGTAAAAAACAGAACAAAACATGCTTTCTGTCACTGAGGTTATTGATTTGGCTATTGCTGTACATGTAGGAAACTGCAATCCTATAATCCTGCTGCAGTGGAGGTATTTACAAAGGATTGTTGGAATATTGAAAAGGCTGTGACTTCACAGAGCAGTCTCACCCCAGCTTCAGAGGGCCACTTCTTTCCCCGTCCTCTTTAAAATGAATAAAGAGAACTTGGAGAAATCTTACAAGTTGAGTAGGTACAGCTGAGGCAGCCCCAGCGCCTACGAGGACTGATGCCATGAACCACCCAGGGTACCTATCACGAGTGGAAAGGAGGTTAGTACCCTAGGACTAGGGTCCCCAAACCAAAGAGCTTCATTTTCTGAAAATGAGATATACCCGTAATAGCTTGAACTCTGTCTGAGCACAGTGGCACACGCCTGCGGTGCCAGCTACTAAGGGACTGAAGCAGGAAGATCCCAAGTTGAAGCACACCCTGTGCAATTTAGTGAGACCCTGTCTCAAAATAAAATAGAAAAGACTGGGAGTGGAGCTCGCTGATCGAGCACGAGCCTGGGGTGCACAAGGCTGAAACTCGTCCCTAGTGCCAGGGAGAAGAGAGTTTGAGCTCGTGACTGAGGTACGGTAACCCTGTTTTGTGTTGTGTCACCCTGGTGTATGGTACAGTACAGCACCTAACTCCTTCCATCTTCTTCACTACCCCTCATACTCATAAATACTGGGTGAAGTACAGATGTATGTACCCAGGTTTATAAGAGGCCATCCCATTTTGTTTAGTTTCTTATTTGGAGACAGGTAGCGTAGAGACAAAATTCCTTTTTACAAAACAAGTGTTTTTGTAAAATCACTTTACACTAAGTGATTTTTCCCCCAGGACTGGGAGTTGATCCCAGGGATACTAGCACTGAGGTTCATCCCCAGCCCTACCTATTTATTTATTAATTTTTTTAAAAAAAATTATTTTTTTTGAGACAGAGTCTCTCCATGTAGTTTGGTCTGGTCTTAAACCCCAGACTGGCCTCAGATTTGTGACAGTCCTCTTGCCTCAGCCTCCTGAGTGCTAGGGTTACAGGTATGCACTACCACACCTCACTACCCCCACCCTAGGTTGTGGTTTTGGCTTTTATTTTGGTGCCAGGAATTGAACTCAGGACCTTGTGATTGCCCAGCAGGTGCTATACTGCTGAGCTATATGCCCAGCCCTTCTGGTTATTTATTCGTTCATTTGTTCGGTATTGATACTGAACTCAGGGCCTCTGCTACATCCCCGATTGTCTTTTATTTTGGGACAGGATCTCTCTCAATTGCTAAGTTGCCCAGGCTGGGCTTGAACCCATAGTGCTGGAAGTTCAAGCATATGACACCACACCTGGCTTTATATTTTATTTTGAGAAAGGGTCTTGCTGAATTGCCCTGACTGACCTCAAATTTTTGCCTCAGCCTTTTCTGGCATTACAGGCGTGCACCAAAGCACCTGGCACCCTAAATGGTTTATGACCTGAGACGTCAACCGCCAGCAGGCCTTGAAGCGTTCGTTGTGATGCAAGACCCTGCATGGCACGATACCCTGATCTGATGAAACCCTTTTAGGGCCTGGCAAATCCTGCTTTATTTGGTTGATCGATATTTATTTGCTAACTCTGTAAATAAATTGGTTTAGCTGAGCATGGTGATACATATCTTTAGTCCCAACTACTCAGGAGACTGAGGTAGGAGGGTCACTTGAACTCACCAGTTTGAGACCAAGACCCCATCTCAAATACAGAGTAGAATTTTGTTCGCTATTGGAGGAAAGAAGGAGGGTTTGAAATTGATATCAGTCTGGTTGACATCAGGGAGATTGTTATAGAGCAATAAAAAAGAACCAGTCACAACTTAAAGTTGGCATTTTTTTTTTAATTGTTGTTTGTGGTCCTAGGGATTAAACGTAAGGCCTTTGCACTGAACTATATCTCCAAGTCTTTTTAAAAATTTTAAATGTTTAGTCATTTATTGTTTGTTACTAGGGCTGAAACCCAGGGGCATTCTACCACTGAATTGCAGTCTAACCCTTTTTAGATAGTCTTGCTAAATAGCTAAATTGCCCAGGCTTCAGGCTGGGCTTCAACTTGGATTCTCCTACCTTAACTTCCCCAGAGTGCTGGGATTGCAGGCATGTGCTACCCATTAGCTTAAAGCATTTATAAAACTGCACATCAGCTGGGCATGGTGGTGTACACCTGTAGTCCCAGCACTCTGTGGGAGGCTGAGGCAAGAAAATAGCAAGTTTGAGCCTAGCCCAAGTGACTTGGCAAGATCCTATCTTAAAATAAAAAAAGGCCTGGGAAGGTAGCTCAGTGCAGAGGCCCTGGATTCACTCCTCAGTACCATGAAAATAGGTAGAGAGAGAGACAAAACAGAAAGACAGACAGACAGAGGTGGGCCGCATAACAACATGGACAATAAGTCATACATCCTCTTTTTCTTTCTCCCTTCGTTTGCTTTTTAAAATGTGCAAGTAATCATCTGTGTAGGTCTCCATAACAGAAAAGATTAAGTTAAGACTAACAGTTTTTCTCCTCTGAAATTCATCTTTTAGAAAATGATTGCTTGGGCTGGGGATTTAGCTCAGTGGCACAGTGCCTGCATGGCAAGCGCAAGGTCATGAGTTCAATTCCCGGTACCTGAAGAAAACAAAACAAAAAAAAGAAAGTGATTGCTTAATCTGGCTAAGGTGGTGAACTCTGTAATACCAGTACTCTGGGAGGCTGGAGCAGGTCTCAAAATAGCTCAGTGCAAAAATCCTGGGTTTAATTCCCAGTGCTGCAGGGGGAAAAAAAATTGAATTGAATTCCACTGTCTGGGGCCGAGTATGGTGGCGCACGCCTGTAATCCCAGCATTCGGGAGGCTGAGGCAGGAGAATCATTGCGAGTTCGAGGCCAGCCTGGGCTACAGAGTGAGCTCAAGGCCAGCCTGAACTGCATAGCGAGACGTTGTCTCAAAAAGACAAAAAAGGGGCCTGGGGATTTAGCTCAGCGGCACAGCGCCTGTCTGGCAAGCACAACGTCGTGAGTTCGATCCCCGGTACCGGAAAACAAACAAACAAAAAATCAAAAAGACAAAAAAAGAATAAAAAAAGAATACCACTGTCTGACCTTTGATGCCTATTACTGGATTTTCTTTGGAAGACAAAAACATAAAAAAACTAAAACGTTATGTCTTAACACATCATTTAGTGTAAAGTCATGATAGTGGGGGGCAGTCCATTCACTTGGGACCCCTCCAGGAGCTACCCTCTCAGGAGCTACTCTTTCCTACTCCCCATTCCTATTCTCCAGTAAATTTTCCTACCTAAAAAAAAAAGCATGTAGTGGGAGAGATTTGGCATCCAGATGACTGCTGTGTCTCAGTTCTCTCATCTGTAAATGGTACATAGTGTCCATCAACTAAGAATTGAAAAGAATGTTTCAGTGCACATGAAGTACTATTATAATTCAAGCATAAGGCCACACATATAATCCCAGTGCTGAAGAGGCTGAGGCAGGAGGATTGGCATGATTTGGAAGCCAGCCTGACCTATATAGCAAGACCCTGTCTCAAAAAAAAAAACCTATTATAAATCATTAAGGTGAAGTGGCTGGGTTGTAATAGTTTATTTGGTAAATGGTTATTTTTGTTATTCCATCCATTGAAACTATCGACACAAATAGCCTGATCGATGGAGGACAAACTGTATTCCTGCCTGACTCTTCTTTGCTGATAATTCCTTTTTTCCCCATCTTCCTTTTCTGTCATCAGTTGATTTATGAAGATTGTATGGATCTGATTGCAAAGCTACCTTGTGTTGCAGCAAAGATCTACCGGAATCTTTACCGCGAGGGCAGTAGTATCGGGGCCATCGACTCTAAGCTGGACTGGTCCCATAATTTCACCAACATGTTAGGCTATACTGATGCTCAGTTCACGGAACTCATGCGCTTGTACCTCACCATCCACAGGTGAGCCAGCCCTGCAGCCATAGCTACACGGGGGCACTACGTTTAAATTCTAATATTCTAGCTGGGCGTGGTGGCTCATGCCTGTAGTCCCAACACTCCGGAGGCTGAGGCAGGAGAATCATTGCGAGTTTGAGACCAGCCTGGGCTACAAAATGAGCTCAAGGGCAGCCTGAACTGCATAGCAAGACCCTGTCTCAAAAAGACAAAAAAAAAAAAAAAATTCTAATATTCTAGCCGGACGTGGTGGCGTATGCCTATAAATCTCAGTACTCGGGAGGCTGAGGCAGGAGGATCCTTGTGAGTTCAAGACCAGCCTGGGCTACAAAGTGAGCTCAACGCCAGCCTGAACTGCATAGCAAGACCCTGTCTCAGAAAGACACACACACACAAAGTTCTAATATTCTTAGCTTCTGGGAACAGATGATATGCAACAAGGAAATGAAAATATGATACAGGGGATGCTACAAGGCCAAAAAGGGTTTCGTGCTGGGTGTGGTGGCCTACCTGTCTCCAAAAAAAGAAAAAAACAAAGGGGGAAGAGGGAGTCTTGAAGAGGGAGTCTTGTAAGGAAGGTCAAGTGACCCAGGGGGGAAATGATAGCCATGCTAAGAACTAGAGGTTGCTTCTAGCTGGAAGAAGAACTCAACTTGTGGGCTTTGTTTATTTTGTTTTATTGAGACAGGGTTTTGCTGTGTAGTTCACGATGGCCTTTAACTCACTCTAGCCCAGGCTGGCCCTGAACTTTGGCAGTCCCCCTGCCTCAGCCTCCTGAGTGCTGGGAGCACGGGTGTAAACCACCAGGCAGGGCAGACCCTTGGGAGCGTTAGCTTGTCCTTCAGCTTTGCAAGAGCTCCCCCTTGTGGCCATTATTATTAAAGCTGGGGGCAGGGACGTAGCTCGGTATTGGAGCGTTTAAAGCCCAAGCATGGGCTCCATCCCCAGCCCTGACAGGGAAAGGAAAGGTGGCAGGCTGCGGTGGGAACTACAGAGCGAGGCCCACAGGCATCAACTGGTCATTTCTTCAGCTCTGTCGAGAGCTGACTGCTGTAGACTGGTGTAAGCTCATGGCTAAGTTAGGATGTGACAAGAATAGCAAGGCTCTACATCCGCCCCTTCTTTCTCCCCCACAGCGACCATGAGGGTGGCAATGTAAGTGCCCATACCAGCCACTTGGTGGGCAGTGCCCTTTCAGACCCTTACCTGTCATTTGCAGCAGCCATGAATGGGCTGGCAGGGCCTCTGCACGGACTGGCGAACCAGGTAGGGCTGTTCTTCCGCTTCTCCTGCCCCTTGCTTTTGTGCCCCTGCTTTGTTCCGGAGTTGGCTGCTCTCCCCTGGCGCATGTCCTGACGCTCCCGTTCCCAAACCTTACCCCAGGAAGTGCTTGTCTGGCTCACGCAGCTCCAAAAGGAAGTTGGCAACGATGTGTCCGATGAGAAGTTACGAGACTACATCTGGAACACACTCAACTCAGGACGGGTAAGCAGAGGCGCTGAGATGCGTAGCTACTGGGAAGGAAGTCAGCGTCCAAGTCCGGAAGTCCGGAAGAGTTACAAAGAAAAAAAATGAAGATAATTATGGGAGACCCTCACCCCCAGTAAAAAACCAAAAGAAATAAAGTGAGGGAGGGTCCTGACTTTGCCTGCCCGGAAGGCTTCCGGAGAAACATTCTAGCCAAGAGTACCAGCCGTCTTCTCCCGCTCCTTTGTAGGTTGTCCCAGGCTATGGCCATGCGGTGCTGAGGAAGACGGACCCGCGGTACTCCTGTCAGCGAGAGTTTGCTCTGAAACACCTGCCCAACGACCCCATGTTTAAGCTGGTCGCCCAACTGTACAAGATTGTGCCCAATATTCTCCTAGAGCAGGGCAAGGCCAAGAACCCTTGGCCCAACGTAGACGCTCACAGCGGGGTGCTGCTGCAGGTGAGGTTCCCCTGGGCCATGTGTGTGCAGTGTCCTGCTGTTCTTGGCCACCCTGGACGCGACTCCCTGGCCAGTTTGGTTTTGTTGGTGCTGGGGTCTGAAGCCGGGGTGCTCACGCTGAGTCAAACCCCAGCCCTTTTGTATTTTTTACTGAAACGGGTCACTGAGTTGCCCAGGCTTACTGGGCTCAAACTTGCAATCCCCCTGCTTCAGCCTCAGACTGCTGGCTTTATCGGCTTGCACACCATGCCGGGCTGAGAGCGCGGACCCTTACACCTCCTCCACAGAGCCTTTTGATAAAATTGCTCATAACAGGTCGGGGCGAGGATTGCTCTCTTCAGAATCCCAGTTATCCTTTTCCCAGCGTCATTTGTCTTTAAGGCTGACTGGGCCAAGTCCCTGGAGGAAAGCAGGAAATGGAACCTCAGAGGCTCCTTTCACCTGGCCCTGCGTGTGCCGTTCCCTCTGTGCCCTGAACAAAACCTTTTCTCTGTTCCTCCTCGCAGTACTACGGCATGACGGAGATGAATTACTACACGGTCTTGTTCGGAGTGTCGCGGGCGCTGGGCGTGCTCGCGCAGCTCATCTGGAGCCGGGCCTTGGGTTTCCCTCTAGAGAGGCCGAAATCCATGAGCACGGAGGGTTTGATGAGGTTTGTGGAGTCAAAGTCAGGGTAAAGCTTGGAGTTGGAGATGGGGAACCGACCGGAAGAGACGAAGCTTAACGACAACAACATAGTGTACTTGTGTTTCAAGGGGCCTGTAAAGACTTAAGATTAAATTGTTTCTGAGGCACTGAAAATATGTTTGAAGTTAAAATATAAATTAAGACTTTAAAAGATAAAAAGTGATCCCTTCTTCCTAACCAGCTCCCTCCCCTGCCCGGTACGAGGTGCCCGTCGGCCGTAGGGTGCCCGGGACTGATGCATGTGAGGCGGGTTAGGCCCGGCCCCCGCCGTCTCTAGAGAAGAACCTGGCTCCTGCCTCTGGGTCAGAGCAGGTCACACACAATCTGCGGTCTCCCCGGAGCTTTTGCTGGTACTCTGCCCGGCCCTCTCGGCTAGGACCCCAGGGCCTTGCCCCTCCTGTTGCACAGAGCTCACTGCAGGGTTACCAGCTGTGCCAGGCCCTCGCCCATGCCCCAGACACCGTCTAGGAAGATCTGTTGGGTCGCTGGGCATGCTTTGGCAGTTTCTTTTTATGCTAGCAGGTGACCGTGCAGGTATGGCATTTGTTGGCACCCAGTGTTTCATTTGATTTTCCTTTTTAAAATTACCCATTAAAGTTGAGGTCTGGAAGTATTATGTCCCATTACTTTAATACCTCCTTCCAGACTTGATACACCTGTTCTGCCTCAAGCTGAGGATACTCTGGGCCTTTCCCTCTTGGTCCCTGCTAAAGACCTCTTTAGTAGGTCTGTCTGATCTGTGGTCTTTCCCAGTCACTAGGATTTAACAGCACTAATGTGAACTAAGCTTGTACTTCCGCAGAACTCAAGCCACTGCCGTCTGACCTTTCTCCCATGCATATGCTCTGGGGGATAGAACAGGAGCTCAGGAACGACCAGCCCTTCATGGTCTGGTCCCAGGGGTATGAACGTTTCCTTTTGAGCAAAGAGATGATTCAAGATTATATATGGTCTCCTCTGAGTATCAGGCCCATGGGCTGGGGACGTGCAGTGTAATAAGCCTCCCTCTTCATCCCCTGCCACAGAAAATGCCCCCTTATTTATCAGTGTCTTTCTTTCCTGCCCCTTCTGCAAGAGCTCACAGTACAGTGTTTCAGAAGCCCCACTTACACAGGTTCTCGGTGACTCGATGCTCTGCTGCCTTTTCTTTGGGAAAGGGCTGAGATACACTCCTGCCACGGCCCCTCCTCCCTCGGTACTCCTGCCTGCCTTTGTGTGGCTCCCCAACCCCAGAACCATGCTGTTGAGATGGACACACTGTAAACCCTGGGTAACTGTCAAGTCATTATGCAGACTTCAGGTTGTTCTGTATAAAATAAAAAATAAATGTTTTTATTAACAACGCTTGAGCCTGCTGTTAAATAAGGCCTGGGAGAATCTTTATGACAGCATAAGGAATCTACCTGGTGAGGTCCTGAACCTGCTAAGTGGTGTAAGTTACCCCGTGCGGCCCTCTGTCTTAGGGCAGGTGTGGCATTCAGCGGGAAGACTCCCTTCTCTTTCCTCAAGGTCATGATGTCCTTTACCTTCAGCCCTCGCCCTTCCTAATTCTCTTACAATTCGGAGCACCCAAGGAGCACCGCCACGCCTCACAACTGCTGGTGACTGATCGGAGAGCTGGAGCCCACTGGGTGAAAGGAGCCTGCGGGGAACGCGCGGACTCCGAGTGCGAGCTCGGGGCCGGCACACTCGCGGGCCCGGCTGCCCCGCAGCGTCTCCCCTGCAGCCTTCTGTAGTGTTCAGCAGGCCTCCAAGAGGACCAGGGGTGGTCCTGAGGGTACCAGATACGTGGGAGGTCGGAGACCCGAGGGTTCTGTCCTGAGACTTCAGCTGCAAGTGACCTTCTGGAAAAGCTATAAATAGGCGAGGGAGTGGGAGCGAGGTCCTGGCGTGTAGACTGTGCTGCTATAGTTAGCAGGGACACTGTGTCCAGGAGGCTTCCTTACACCTTTCTGCCTCCAGGGAGCCATGGTTTTCTTCGGTTCTGCTATAGCTACATTATTCTCCCAAGAAACAATGCAATATAGGTAAACTCACACTGTCACAATTTATTGAAATTTTATAAAAATTGAGGCCAAAATAGGAAGGTAGTTAATCCAAGAGTACAAAGACAGCTCCGCTTACTGTTTTTCTGTGGCCCTGTGGCCCTGAGATGGTAAGACAGTTACTCTACTCAGCAGCAGCATGGAAATACTCTTTGTATTTTTGAGACGGGGTCTTGCTGTATAGTCCAGGCTGGCCTCGAACTTGAGGTAATCCTCCCGCCTCAGCCTCCCTAGTGCTGGGATTATAGGTATGCACCACCATCCCCACCCTACTCCTTTTTTTGTTTTTTTTTTGGGTTTTTTTGTTTTGTGGTTGTTTTGTTTTTGAGATGGTCTTGATATGCAGTTCAGGCTGGCCTTGAGCTCACTTTGTAGCCCAGGCTGGTCTCGAACTCACAAAGATCCTCCTGAATGCTGAGATTACAGGCGTCCTTTTATTTTTGAGACAGGGTTTCACTGTGTAGTCCAGGCCAGCCTTGAACTCACTATGTAGCCTAGGCTGACCTTAAACTGGTGATGTTCCTGCCTCGGCCTCCTGAGTGCTGGGATTAGAGGAGTATACCAGCACATTTGGCTTGGAAATAATCTTGAACTGAGGCAGTATGGATTTCAAGCTGAGGGCAGGTTGTGTTTTTTTCCTGAGAAACTTCAGGCAAGGCAAAAGTTATTCAGTACCCAGTATCTCTGTGCCAGAGGAGAAGCTCAGTTTATTGAAGGGTTCAAGAAGCTGTTCTCTTCTCAGTCAGATATTGAAATGTCCTGCCAGGGCCCAGAAACAAGCACACAGTGAACAGGCTACAGACATCCGGGACTTGTGGGCTAGGCCTGACCCTTCCCCAGGCGTGTCTAGTCTCCGCAACCTCTGCTTTCCCTCAGCATCTCCAGCCAGTGCAGGGCCCAGTTTCTGGGGAATAGGAGGGACAGTGTTGCGCACCCCTCTCAGAGCAAATAAATAAGGGTCGGGTTGGGAGGGAGCGAAGGCTGGGGAGCAGTCCTTTGCCTCAGGTCTGGTGCACTTCATGGAACATCAGTTCGCGAGGGATGGCTGTCTCTGGGCCAAACTTGGTGGCTGCCCGGCGCTCGAAAGCAGCAACGTTCTGTTTGACAACCTCATCAAAAAATATGGTGGCCAGCTGGGAGTGCAGCAGAGAGCGGAACTCAAAGGAAATCTGGGAGAGCGTAAGAACCAGTCAGTAACTCTTGAAGACTACGTCCGACAGTCCCCGGCCAAATGCAGACACTGTGCTCAAGCCTTTTCTCTCCAGCCCACTCCAGTTTCTTATCCCCTGAAGAGCTCTAACGTAGTACTGAACGTAATACTCCACACTGTATAAACCATGGGGCTGAGGATATAGCTCAGCGGCACAGTGCCTGCCTGGCACGCACAAGGTCTTGAGTTTGATTCCTGGTTTAAAAAAAAAGCTACAGACCAAGCATTGGGAAATGGTGCTGGGTATACTCTTGGGGGGGTTAGTTTTGAGACAGGGTCTTGCTTTGAACTCTCTAGCCCAGGCTGGCCTCAAACCCGATGCAATCTTCCTGGCTCAGCCTCCCAAGTGCTAGGATTACAGGTGTGCACCACCACACCTGGTTTAAACAGATCCTGTCCCAGTGCCTCAGCTCTGCCCTGACCCCCAGCCCTACACCTATGCTGTAAAGCCTCCCGACTCACCGAAAAGTCCACAGTGCAGGTTCGGGGATAGGCAGGAATACCAGGGCTGAATCGCCAGATACTCTCTAAGTGGTTGAAGAGCTTGCCATCAGTGCAAACGGCCTGGAACGGTACAATCCGCTACTTAGAGCGTATCTCTAAGCATACAAGGCAGTAAGAAGGAAATGGGGGTTGGGGTACATCTCAGGGGTACAGCACTTGGCAGCATGCGTGAAGCCCTAGGTTCAAACCCTAGCACCACCAAAACAAAAGAAAATCCAGGTTTTTTTCCTTCTGATATTTTACTAGGGAACTATTTGACAGATAAAGTGATTCAAGAAAGGCCAAAATAGCCCTTAAAGTACTAAGAAGTACAACTTTCCGCCGTTCCCTTCTAGACAGGCCTCACCTTGACCATGTGAGGTTTCACCATGGAAACTGCAGAGGTGTAGCGCTCCAGGACGGGAGGAAAGCCAACCTCCAGCTGGGCCTTCAGGTGACCCTTGCGGCTGGATACCACCAGGGACTTCTTACACCAGGGCACAAACTCGCAATACTCCTGGACATTGGCTACTACCTCAAACATCTCCTGCATTGAGTACCTAGGGGAAGAGGAATCAGACAGGCCCGGGGGCTGCCAGCTGGGTCAGTGACCTCACCATTGGCCCTCAGCTCACACCTTTGCCCCACTAAGCACACACCTGCAGAAGTAAGCCTGGATAAATGATTTCCTAGAAGCAAAGGTACAAGTCCCCAGGATATTAATGTCACTTTTTTTTTTTTTTTGAGACAGGGTCTCGCTATTCAGTTCAGACTGGCCTTGAGCTCACTTTGTAGCCCAGGCTGGTCGCAAACTTGCAACGATCCTCCTGCCTCAGCCTCCCAAGTGCTGGGACTACAGGCATGCGCTACCATTGCCTGGCCTAATGTCATCTTATGTTTCGCAGTTTGCAGGAAGCTTCTGCATTCATTATTTTGATTCCAAGAAAAATGGATGAGAGTAGTTCACTTCACTGATCACATAAACATCAGGTCCTGCTCTACGAATTTCTAACAGTGTGGCCCTGTGTAAATTACCTGTGCCTCCATTTTCTCAGCTATACATTGGAGGTAATAAGAGTGTCTGATTTATAGGTTTGTTGAGAATTAAATGAGAAAATTTATGTAAAATACCAAAGCAGCCTAGCTCCTAGCACACTGCAGGTGCTCAATAAATTAAAATTAACCATTGTGCTTAAAACACATTTTTAAAAGGTCAAATCAAGCCAGGCATGATGGCACACACCTGTATTCCCAGCCTCTAAGAGGCCGAGGCAGGATTGCTTTGAGTTTGAGGCCAGCCTGGGCTACAAAGTGAGTTCAAGGCAGGCCTGAACTGCAGGGCAAAACCCTCTCTAAAATACCAAAAAAAAAAAAAAAAAAAAAAAGTCAGGTCAAAACCAGGTAAGGATGCTGGGCCTGGTGGCGCACACTTGTAATCCCAGCAGTAGGGAGGCTGGGGCAGGAGGATCGTTCCGAGTTTGAGACCAGCCTGGGCTACAAAGTGAGCTCAAAGCCAGCCTGAGATGCATAGCGAGACCCTGTCTCAAAAAGACCAAAAAAAAAGAAAA